CTCTCCTTCGCTGCCCAGCCAGGCTCCGACACGCAGCTCCCCGCCAGCCCCTTCCCAACACACGAGCAGGCTGGAAGGACCAACCCACCCTGGAGCAGGTTTGGGTGCTTGGTTTGCCCAGTGAGACAGGCCCTAAGCTCCCCGCAGCCTGCCGTGCAGACGCAGGGATTCCCCACTGGATCTGAGGGCAGGTGGCTGTGGCGGCTGGCACATGGCACGCAGAGCCCCCACACCCCGGCGGGCACCGCGGGCGTGGGCGAGATGCTCACGTGTATGAAGCATCTTCTCAGGCTCACGCTTTGCTGTGGAAAAGGGAATAAAAAGAACCTCGCCCCCCCTCCATCTGCCTTCAGCGACTCCTTTCTAATAACTTGGCATATTCACTTAATACAGCCCGGCTCCTTCCAAGTCGTTAGCGGCGGCAGGAGACACAGCCAGAACGCTGACCTGGTTTGCTTGCCAAGACAGAGCAAAGAGAAACCTTCACATAATCATTTCCAAACATTAAAATGGCTCCATTGTCATTATAGCTGAGAGATTGAATTCGCCTCATCAAAGCGGCGTATGACAGGTGACTCAATAGGCTGGTGCCAAGCGCGGAGGCAGGAGATTAGCAGGGCACTGATATCATTATTTCCGCCTATCACAGATTCGGCAGGGAGGCAATTGTAATTTCTGGGCTTATTAGTCTGCATTCGCAGGAAAAAACCTGGTGATAAACCTCAGTGTGACAGCCAGGCATTTGTGCAGCAAGTGCTGTCACAGTGACACTTGGAAAATGCCAATGTGGATACGTTCTCCTAATCCCCCCTAATGGAGGTTAAAGCCTGGCACAAAGGCACTCTTATCACTGATCGGGACACTAATAACATTTGCATTTTTAAGTTAAATATAGTAAGTAAAGAGTAAGTCTCCTCCTCGCGGCTCTGGCAATTAACTGGGCCTTGGAAGGATAAAAGCAAAGCGAAGATTCCAGCCGGCCGCGCTCTCCTCTCCTCCACAGCAGCGGGAGAGGGCCCTCGCTGGGTCGGCGTTCCCAGAGCAGCACCTGCACTCCCACCTCAGCTCTCCATGCTTGGCACTGGATGGAGAAGCTGGGATGGGACCTGGCAAAGGGGGGAACAGCCGGCTCGTGGGGGCTGAACGGAAATGCTCACCCGGGACTGCCCTTCCCACCAAGGAGGGGAGATTGTTCTGGGGCTTTCACACACTTTTACAAGTGGTTTTGTTTCAGAAGAACAAAACTTTTGGGTTTTTTTCTGCCCCACAGTGCAAGCTGGGCTTGGGGGTCCTGTGATAATTCCCCCCGGACACGAGCCCAACACGGACACGCACACACACACTCTCCGCAGGAATTTCTTAAGCAAAAAAATAATTACAGGTGGTAAACTGTTACTTTTCCACATTTAAATAAGAGACCAATTAAGAAGACTATGTAATTCAATTCTGGAGTGAGTGCCACTGAATTCAATTTGTTTCAGGTCAATGAATATAATGTGAAGTTATTAACAAAAAGGTCAGGGACTGCATATAAAATATACACACATGACACAGGCAGAGTAATTAGTACACATTTCACATGTTCTCCTGCTCAGACATATGGTGTAGAAAATCTGAGCAGGATTAGATGGTAATAAATGTTCCCCTCTCCCTCCCTCCCACTCCCTATTTAAAGGGGGTTTACAGCTATTCCCCCGGTATTCCTGGGATCCGTGGAGGTTGAGGACCCACAGCTCACACAGCAGTGCCAGGCTGGCACCCCTGGCCAGGGCAAAGCACCCAGGAAAGCTGGGAGGGCGGTGTGGGACTGCAGTGGAGCTGGCAGAGTCACTCAGGGCCAGACCTGAGGAGCACCATGTGCTTGGGGACCTCGTGTCCAACGCACTGCTCATCCCCCGACAGAGTTACCCCCTTTGTGGTATCTCATTCATGCACCCTCACCAAGAATTGCTGTGTTTCCCACGCCAATTTCCTGCAAGTGCACACCTGATGTGAAGTTATTACATTAATAATAATAAAACATTCAAACTGTTATAGAGATGCTATGGTTAAGCGGGGGTTGAAAAAAAGTCCACAACACATGAATAAAAATAACGAGAGGACTACAAAGCCCTAAATGCCTTTGTCACCCTAAGCCTGAGTATGGGACACCTGGATCCTCTCGCAGGTAAAGGTGCACTTTCATAAGGGAGGAAGGTGAGGACTTGGGAAAAACTCCCTGGAAGTTACAGGAAGAAATCCCAAGATACACAAACTCTGCTCAGCTTCTGTATCATGTAAGAGCTTTGAAAAAAGGCAAAAGCACAGAAAACATTGGGAAAATCCTGCTGTGTGGCAGCCCTGGCCCTGTCTCTGTAGCAAGGGAGCCCCAGTAAAGAGCCAAAATCTTTGATTCTTGTGCAAAAAGCCTCCTGCCCCCCACCTGCAGCACCTCCTCCAGGTTCCTGCTTTGGAGGGAAAGCCACAGCTCCCAGGGGTGACAGCATCCCACGGGAAAGCCGCTGCATGGCGAGACCCTGCGGGATGGGGAGGTGCTCCCGGAGCCGGTGGCTCTTCACTGCCTTTTCCGTGTCGAGGGACCACACACACATCCCTACAAAAGCCTTTCCCAGAGCCTGCTGAGCTGCAGCTCCGTGTGTACACACTGACAACAAACCCCGGCCCCACGCATGGCCCTCACCCGGCAGCCGCAGCAGCTCCCGGGTCACTCCAGGCTCCCACCACGCGTGTGACACGGAGCCCACGGGCCCCCCATGCCCCCACTGCACAAAATCCTCCAGTTAAGCCAACATTCACCCTAAAAACATCTCTGTTTCCTCTCACAGAGACTTCAGTTCCTATTTTTATCACTGGGTGCTAGGAGATTAATCCATGCCTAATTCCAGCATCAGCTCTGGGGAGCAGGACATATTTGGGAGTATGGAAACCTCTTTACATTTGAATTGCTCCAATCTATCTGGAATTAGCAGTGAGGGAAACCTTAAACAGGATGAGCTAAATGACACCTGGCAGCTTCCCCAGCCCTTGCTGTGGGGAGCTCAATCTGATCTATAGAGGTGCTCCGGTGTCCAGTCAAACCTGCTCGGGATTCTTTACTGGGAAAAGATAACCCTGCCAAGGAGCCAGATGTGTTTCTGTGCTCCAGCGTTTTCCTTGGCATCTTCTGTTCAGAATGATAAATGCAACAATCCGTTTCCCAAGTTATCCTTTATCTCCAGTGTGGTCTGATGTGTTAAAATAATTAAACTGTTTGTACATGTTGACTAATAATTGCTATTTATTACTGAACTTGTGAGCATAATCCTCAACTGGAGATATTTATTTTGCCATTTATTCCTGTTTTGGTTTTGTATAACTGACTGAAGAAAGCAACAGGAGAAGCAAGAATTGGAGAGCTTAGGAATGGCTGGGAAGCACACTTCCACATGAAACAGCCCCAGATCCATACAGCCTTAGTATTTCTCTGTAAAGAGGGAACTGTAAAGTGAGATTGACTCATACAGGTTCAAGGGTGAGTTAAATCCAAGATGAGCATGTTAATTAACATTGCTGTGGCTAGCTATTCCAGTCAGGATCCTATCTCCAGAGCATTCAGAATTCCTTGGAGACCCAAGTTAGTGCTCACAGGATATTCTGTCCTTAACAAAACAAGGAAAGGTGCCTTGTGAGTTCTGGACTGGCTGCAGTTCACTCGGTCTGTCCCATACACCAATCCTGCAACAGCCCCTGGCTTTTCCCATCAGCATCCCACTGGGATGTGGGGCTGCACAGCAATCCCAGGCACAGCAGCCGCCCGGTTTAGTCCGGGACTCTCCCCATGTGTCGGACTCCAAGAATGGCACAATACCCAAGGCACTGTCAGGACAGGGCAGGGGTTTAATCAGTGCTACCAAAACCAATTGATTTCACTCCACTTCCCAAAATTCAACACATTGATCTGTATTAAGAGAAGGGCAGCTCGGCAGGTTACTGAATATACCAGGTGGAGAGGCAAAAAAAAAAAGTAAACAAACAAAAGAAATCTATTTTCTTTTTAATTAAGAAGTGATTCTCCCCCAAGTGGCCCTTTGCTCTCCCTCTGATTCCCTGGTTTTAAAACCACCAGAGCAATTAACTTTCCATTTTACTGTTGGGCTTGTGCATCGGAACAGAAGAAATGACAAGCAGGGAAATACCTACGTGAAGCCTTTGTTTTCATTATTTGTCCCCTTTTCCTCTGAGTTTTCTGTTTCTTTTCCCAGCAAACCATGGCCAGCTTTCCCCCAGCCCATGGCACGACTCCCCAGACCTCCCCATCACCACCCCAGAGCGACGATGCCGCCCCTCTCCTCCCCTCGGTGCCTCAGGCTGGATTTTTCCTTAACACCACCGGGATTTACTCGGCGCTTCCACAAACTGCCCTTGACCTCCAGGCCCCCCGTGGGACGGGGTGGGAGCAGAGCAGACCTCCCACGCTCGGGCCACCGCAGGTGCCGGCGGGGCTCCCTGGGCAGTGCCCAGCCACGCGCGGCGTGCTGGCTGGGAATGGGAATGGGAATGAGAATGGGAATGGGAATGGGAATGGGGGAGGCGTCCCGCTCCCCGCCCTGCGGGGTCACTGCCCCCCAGCTCGGCAGGCTCTCAGCACTCCCGCTCCCGGCATTTTCATTAACTGAAGATTGCGGGTGGGTCAGCAGATCTATACACTTTTGTGTTCCTCGGCTCGCTTTATTTATTTCTTTCTTTTGCAGGATGCTGAACAACTAACCTTTCCTTCAATAGGCAGATTTAAAAAAAAATAGGATCCATCACACAGCGGCAGGATAGCCTTGCTCTGTTTTGACCTTTCTGAAATTAATTTCCCAATCTTAGCTTTCAAAATCAGAGATTGAAAAGACCTATTAGATCAGCCAATCCATCTTATCACTAGTACGGCAGCAAGCAGAGACCCCAGCCAAGTGCTCCTCTACACAGGGAAAATATTCTGGAATAAGACGGGGCATGAATTTAAAGTGAAATACCTGTTCCGGAATATTCTGCACGTGGACACGCACTCTGGAAGAGCTGCAGCTGATCCTGAGTTTGCTCAGTTGACACCTGGAGCCACTCACTGTAACAGAGGGGAGAAAAAAAAATTCCATTTTAGGAAAAGAGTTCCTCTCCCGGGATAGCTCCAGGGAATAATGCCCCCTGACACTTTTTCCCCACGCAGGGAAGCACAGGGAAGCACAAGGACAGGTGCTCACACACCTGCCCAGGGAGAGCTGCTCCCAGGCTCAAGGTCATCCCTGACCTGCAGAACCAAAGACTGCCTGGAAGGACGTGGGTCAGAAGGATGGGATTCTGGTGTGCAGCTCCTCAAGGAGCCTGGGGTGTTAAAACACAGCTCTCCCAAACTGCAGTGGAGCACCTTTGCCAGGAGCACAGGTCTGCTCAGCGGGTCTGTGCTTCTCCAGACAGTAAATCCCTTGGCACCTGGGGCAAAACCCCAAAGCTGAGGGGTCTGCACCGCACGAGCCTGAGGGCAGGGCCAGGGCCAGCCGCCCTGGTCAGCACTGCCAGCCCATGGTGGCGGTCCCCAGGGAGGAACTGCAGGGCACAGGGGTGCTGCTGGTGCCCTCTGTCTCTCTCCTCCTATTCCCCTTGGAATTCCTCGGGCTCTGGGGACAGGACAGGTCACCCTCTGGAAATCCTGGTCTCCATCTCCATCCTGCCCTTCCCTGCCTGAGGCCGCTCCAGCAGCACCACATGGAGCCCAGGTCTGGCCTGTCCTCACCCAGGGGATGCCACAGTCACACAGGGAGGGAGGGGGAGCTCACTGATGCTGTGGTAGTCACGGATATCAGTGCCACGCTGGGCTCTGGGCTGGGAGATAGGAGAATGCACTCCAAGTACGTGAAAACTTGGAGTTTCTTCCTGTGAAATCCGATGGGAAGGAGGCTCTGCCGACACCTGCAGCGAGTGCATTCACCAAGGAACTGGGAATGACATAAATGTGCCTGTCAGGTTAAAGCCCTGTTACATTTCCTATCAGTGCTCCTGTTTGGGTGACAACTGCGAGTCTTTTCCCAGTGAACCCCCTGTTCTGCCTCGGCAGCTCCTGCCTTCCACACCCACCATCCCGGCGGGAAGAGCTGCCACCACCCCCTGCCACAGGGAGCACCAAGAGCATGCAGGGACGGGAGCTGCAAACTTCGGGCACTCAACAAGTCCTCTCCACACGCAGTCAGGGCCGAAAGATCAATATTGACACTTTAGACTATTTTCCTCAATTTCTTTTTTTGTTGATTGTTGGGGCAAAATTCCACTTTTCCGATATCTTGGATTCTTGGCTAATAGAAACAAATAAAGTGAAAGCTTCTGTCCACAATGGGCGAGGAGCAGCCATTGTCGGCAGGCGCTAATCGGATTAAATTGGCTCCTGGCTCTATTGCTCGGGGATAACTCACTCCTAAATTTTTCCCATCTCAAGGGGATGGGTCATTGTTGCTTCTTTTTTTTTTTTTTTGCCTATTTAAATTTGACAGATAGAAAGAAGCCAGGACTGGCCGGAGCTGATGGCGGTGAACAAAGAGTGGAGCCCAGCCGTGGGCCGTGGTCCTCGCTGGCCCCCGCGAGCCCCTTCTCCCGGCTGGAGCTGCTCCGGCATCGCCGCCGCTCCCGCCTGGAAACGGCGCCTGAACCCCAAACGCAGCCGGGCAGGGAAGAACCTCCGGCTGTCCCCGGCGGGCGCGCTCAGGTCGCTTCCCATTAGCATTTTAATCCGTACCCCTGGCACCAGCCCCTCGGAAGCTGCAGCCACGTTCCTGTGAGCACCCGAAGAGACAGCCTTAAATAATGCCGCCTTCCGAGGGAGGCCCCGCGCGCCGCCAGCTACATTTTGCCCAGAGTCTGATAATTTTCAAAGCTATTGGCAACCTGGGAATTTTCCTGCCTTATCACCGGGGCTCAGCTAACTTCACTAACACTAATCAGAGCTGGAATCATTCATTCAAGGATTGCATGATCATGTTTTTCTTTAGCAGTGACAGCTGCCTGAGCCACATTAGCAATGCAGATGAGTCAGCCTAATAGGTTAATGCAGAACACGCGAAAATTAGGTTTAATCCCCAGTGAAATAATCTAACATTTTCACATTTCTTGATGTTGGGATAGAGACATTGGTGGTGACTCAATTAGGTGTAATGTAGATCAAAGCAAATTTACCTTCTGGCTGAACCTTCCCCATAGTTTAGATAGAAGAATATAAGGGTTCTTTACTAATTGGCCAGTGGCTGTGGGGAAAATTATATGGAAAGCGTGCGTAGCGCAGGAATTGCGTGTCGGATGTGGAGCTGGGCATGGCTGGGCTCTGCAAACAGCTGGCACGGCACTGTGTGCACAGCCCCTGCCAGCCCACGGTCCTTGCCATGCAGGGCTCACCGACGAACACGTCTGGGCTTTGCTTGGCTTTTTTTTTTTAGTTTTATTCCCCCCCCACCCCATTCCTTTTTAATGTCCTGTGCTGCAATATCCCCACCGAGGTTTGAAAGACCTTGTATGATAAAAGGAGCATAAAGGAGAGGGAAAAAACCCCACCCACCAGCGCGTCCGTCTAATGTTTCCATTCCCGGGGAATAACATATCAAACAGCCATCGCTTTCAGTCATAAAGGGAGGGGAACAAAAAATTACATGCCCTCAGTTGCCAAATTATTTTTTTGCCTTGACATCTTAATTCTTAATCCTTGTGTGTGGTCAAATCAGCCTACTATAGACAACCAATCAAGCAATTATTCCTAAATTATATTTGCCCAGCTCACATTGATTGGTTATTCTTTTCTTATTGGGTAAGCTCATTAATTCCGAGCAGCTTGCTTATTATGCTTTCCACATCATTTTCCTTCGGAGCCTATCTACTCACACCAGCCTGCTGATGTTTCAAGATGCCACGCAGAAAAAAAAGGCCGAGTGATCTATTGCATTGTCTCTTCCAGCAATTACAATTCACATTGCTGATTAACTTTGATGTGAAAACTAATGAGATAAGGCAAGTTATCAAGGCGGACCTGATCGTCATCTCATTTAGAGAGCATTTGCCATCAGTGAATGACAAAAACTAATGAAGATGTATCTGACAGCAGGCTGAGCCGCGGCCGAATTTCGTTTCTCATCAGCAAGTGCTCTGCTTCGAACTCATCAGTCTATCTGAAACATGTGGAAATTAGCTTAATAATGAAAACACTTCATCCAAATAGACAAATGTTTACATTAAAATAGCTACATGATAAATAGATGTTAAAGATTTTATGCCTTCTTGAGTCTAAACAATGGAGCACAAAATATGTTCTCATATTCACTAAATCATGCCCATAAAGCTCCCCACGTGCTGCTGTACCTGCGGGTTCCCCTCTTTACGGCTCACAGGGATTCCTGGGCTGCGGCTCCCCGTTTGGAGCCGCACGGTTCGGGCTGTAGCTCGGGAACAGCCTGTGCCGTGGGGGCTGCCAGGGAAAGGGGGACTGTCCCTGCTCACATCTGGGGGCACAGAGCTCCCAAAAGCGGCTTTTTAGCAGCGCCGCGAGAGAAGCGGAGTTGCTGCTGGACATTCACATTTACCCGATGCAGAAAGGAGATCCATTTAGCCCCAGACAAAATACAAAGCGCAGGCATAATTCATGTAAATACAGCAACGTTTCTTGCCTGAGCCATTGCCGAAAGGCCTCCTGTAATATCAGTCTAGTTTGGAAATGTTGTGATAAAAGGCAGGCGAGGTGGAGCTGCTCCCATTTTTAATATTGTGGCTTTGGTATCTTTATTTATGAGAGACTATTTCATATTTGTTGGCCACTATTTCACATGCTTCTACTGCGTCCAAACATATCCCCAAGATGGTTTTGTATCTGGAATAAAATATTCATTCATCACCTGGGATCAAAAAATACTATTTTTAATACAAAAGACACACAGCTGCAAGGCAAAAACTCTCACTCTAAAAATTATTCTAAAAACTGTGTACACTTCAATTAAAATAAAGAGCTGTAAAAGGTTCTTTTCCTCTACCCTGATTTCTTCCTCTCTCTGAAAACTGGTAGAATATATACTGACAGCCTATAGCACTGTGTCCTCTGGGAAAAAAAACCAAACCAAACACACTATTCTTAGTGTAAGAGGAACTTTAAAACTGATTTTAAAAAAAACCAAACAAACAACACATTATGCAAGTGTACTAAAAAAAACCCCAGAGGCTTTGCAGAAAAGCCACGGGAGCTCCTGTGAATTCCGTGCAGCGACAGCTCCGCGCACACAGGTGGGGAACGCTGGGCTCCCGACCGCGCCGGGACCGGGCCGTCCGTGCTTGGCACCGCGCCGGGGCTGGGGCTCCCCGCGCCGCCGGTGGGTGCAGCCCCCCGGCCCCACCGATTCCATCCTCAGGCACTCACCACGTCCCCTTCCTCGGCCGGGGAGGACAGCGGAGGTGCAGCCCGAGGTGCCCGGCATTGTGAGGCACAGATTAGCAGCCGGCACAAAGGGCCCGGGCCCGGGCAAGTTAAAAGAAAAGCCTGGTAGGAAGCGCCGGCAACAAATTACTACTTCAGCGCTGGATTAAACGTAAAAGCCCTTCACAGAGCTGCAGATAAATCCTGTATGTTAGAAGGAACCATAAAAGTACTTGTTCAAGAGCTACAGGCACAAGTGGAAAATTGACCCCAAAGATTTTTTTTTTTTTTTTAAATAGCTGAAGTTTATAAAATTTCCCCCGGCGCAGGGAAGGGTTCCGGTACCGCTGCCGCGCTCGGCAGCGCGGCGCTCCCGGGCTGCTGTGGCTGCTTACCGGAGTTGGACAGGGTGAGAGCATTCCATGAAATCCCAGCAAGGTTTGCTTGGTGTTTTGGGGAGTTTCTGCTTTGCCTGTTTTTTTGTTTGTTTGCTTGATATGGGGTTTGTTTGTTTTTCGGTTTGTTGGGTTTTGTTTGTGGGGTTTTTTTGTTTCCCTTTTTCCCTCTTTCTTTTACCCAGCTACTGCAGCAGGATGGTTTCTCTTTCACCACTCACAGTGGGAAAACATTGCTCCCATCCTTATTTTCCTTCTCCCCCAGACCCCTAAGCACAGGTCCATCCCCACATTCCT